CTACTACTACCACTACTACCACTACTACTACCACTACTACTACTACTACTACTACTACTACTACTACTACTACTACTACCACTACTACTACTACAACTACTACTACGTATTGGTAGAATCTGCCACTTCTACTACTTCTACTACTACTAATAATAACTGATGAAATATACGTACTACTATTGCTACTGCTACTACATCAAAAACTACTTCTAAGTATTGGTAGAATCTGCCATTAAAACTAGTRCTGCTACTAGTGTTACTACTGCAGTTATGACTATTTTAAAATTGGTAGAATCTACAACAACTACTACAAGTACTACTGAGTATTAGTACAATCTACAACTACTGCAACAAAGAATTATAGAACCTTGTACCACAGGTACAACTAAAATTTTTAGAATATACATGAAGTACTACCATTAAGAATTAGTGGAAAACCATTAGAACTACTAGAAATCATATAACCTACCAAAATAACACAACAACTACTACTACTAATATTACTACAGCTATAAACTGGTAGAATCAGTTACTACCAATCTACTATCAGGAATTATTTGTTTCAGTTTGTTTGACAAATGTCTCAGTTTGATTCTCATTTTTATCTTTAATCAGTGTCAATCTGGGTTCAAAGGTCAGCAAATTTCTTAACACAGAAACTAAACTGAGATAAAACAGGTTCAGATGTCACAGTGACCTAAGCTAAGCCCTAAAACAAAAGGAGGAAATCGGGAATCGCTGCAACAGTTTGGAGACATTTTGGTGAATGTTGTTAATGTTGTTAAAGGTGTAGTCCAGTAAAACACATGGTTTTGTAATATTTAGTAAACATGAGTGGAAGTAGGCTCCCCGTAAACACTGACTCTGAAACTATAACCTGATAAACTGACACACAAACCTGGTGGTTCTGAAGCGTCAGTGCTCATGAGTTCTGTGTCATCCTGACAGACCGGAGCTGTTTGACTGGAGCTCGGTGGACAAGAAGACGTCGGTGGAAAGACTGGAGCACGCCTTTAGTAAGGCAGAACAACACCTGGGCATCGAGAGGCTGCTGGACCCCGAGGGTAAAAATCATCTGCTGAACTTCTGCTTGTAGCAGTGTGGAGGACCGGAGGTGTAAACTGAAATAACATTAGATTAATCAAATGTAAAACACAAACTTCTCTAAGTGCTAATGTGAGGAAATGAAAGTGTTGTTTGAAYAATGCAACTGCTTGTCATACCTGCTGCTGTAGTATCTGCTACAGCTGCAGAGCTTTAAATTCAACAGGCAGGTCTCATCTGAACCTAGTGTGTTTAAATGGTATCTGTGTGTCCATGCCTGTATACGAAAATTTAGTGTTCAACTGAAATCGTGACGAAACCGCCTGACCGTTGAATAGATTAAAATGTGGAGAAGGACCGTACAACACCAGTGACTGGAGTGAATGGTGATTTAATGCTCTCAAGGCAGGCATGAAACCAATGCTGCTGGAAAACCGGATGTCACGGTCTATAAATACATGGTTCTTCAGTGCCTGGTACGCCCACTACAGGCCTACGGCGGAATCGCAGACACTCRTGCAGACATCCTGTCCTCATGATTGATTAACGGTTTTTCTATGTGTTGTGATGGTGTTTCAGGAATGTATCTAAACCTATTTTAAGCAAGACATACAGCAGGTAAAACGTCACCATTTTTCTCAGTAAATATATTACTAGAGGTGCTAATGACATGAAATTTTCAACAGATGTCGGTAACAACCCAAGT